TGTCACATTTTAAATAGGATAAATGTTATTTATACTTTATGCTGCAACATTTAATCTTTTGAAGCAGCAGGGAGGTGTAGCAGGACTTGGTACTTGATCATACCCCATCCTCTAACAGGCAAGAGGGTTGATGGAGACCAGCTGTAGGAGAGACCACCCTCACCTGTTCCATTAGTGAGGGGTCAACTGGGCCCTGCTGGATGGGTGCAGGTGGGGAGGAAGGCTATAAAGAGGAGGGCAGGCAGAGAGCAAGCTGTATGCTTCTGTGGTATAGGAACATTGGCTGGTGTTTTGATCTGGAGTCATTTTGCCTGTGGGTGAGCCATAATTGAACTTTCTCTACAAGGGAAGGGTGACTCAGGTGCAGCTGGTGGCAAGGAGAGGAGGGGAAAGCTTGTGGTGGTGAGTGGTTTCCTTTGTGAGTTCTGGTGCTTTCAAGGGTAGCTATGCAGGGCTGTGGGAAGGTAGTGTGCCTGGTTTTACATCCTATAGCTGAGCTCAGGGCAAGGTTTGAGCATCCTGTGGTGCAGCAGCGCTGAGAGAGCCTGGGTAATGGTGGGTGTACATCTACACTCCAGTACCAGTAGTATGCTGGGTGCAGATTCACCCTTGGTTGACTAATACTTACTTGCTTAAGGCAAGTCAGAAAAGTTGCCTGCTGGAAAGGCTTCTTAAACTATTATTCTGCTGGTGGCTTTGTGAAGTTTTGGACAAAGAGAAGTGTCCTGAAGGTGGGATAAACCTAGATGATACCTGCTATGTTTTATGTTGGCACTATTGGCTTAGAAATGACTTCTAATGGTAGATTATTCTATGAGAGGGGTGTGGTTCTGCAGTATTAGTATCTTAAATATCATGATGGGATCTTTGAAATACATGCAACATCAAGAAAGTGGGGAGAATATACAAGGAATGCAATTAATCATCTAACTGCTAAGTTATTCTTAATGTTTCAAACCTGGTTACAGTGGTTGTGCATGTTAAATGCCTAATAAGAAATTGTACAGTGCTCCCTCTGAAGCTGTGCTGGAATTGTTAATGTTTTGGCAAACATCCCCCCCCCCCCAAGGTTCAGCTCTGCATTATGCCTTCTTGGCTGGTACTTCCAGACTTAAGGGAAGGGTGTAGAAAGAGCCAATTGTGAGCATATGGCATTGTCTCTGCATTTCCCTCTTGTGAAGCACTCAGTACTATTAACAGTTTTGCTGTTAATAGGGTAACATCTTTATTTATCTTCCTGTTGCTATTTCTTTTTCCTGCTTAAATCTATGCTTAGTAGATCTTTATTTTTTAAATAAAGAAACAAGGATAATGACTTCTGTATAAGCTCATTGACACATTCTGTTACTGCTGAGGAAGTAGAGTGAAAATACCTTCTCCGTGGAATTCAGCTTTGTAGTCTTTATTTTTCCAGCCAGTATGTACTCAAGGAGAGGTAGAGGCTGCATGCAGCATTTGGGTTTCTGCAGGCTTCCAAAATAACCTAATGAAAGGTCACTCAGCTGCTACCACCTTGAAAAGGGAGGCAAGCACACTGCTTGGAACTGATGCTGACATCAAGGGTGAGGTACTTGTGCAACTCTCCTGTTGGAGGGAAAATCTCAAAAGGTGCTCAGCCTTGTCTCTGCCATCAAAACAAGGTGCTGAAATTTAAATCAGACTGGAGGCAGCCCAAGGGTTTAGGTGCCTGGCTGGCAGTGATTCACTTTCAAAAGTATCAATCTCTTTCTCTATGCCAAAAATAAAACAGTAGGAAGAGCAACGGGCAACTATAGCAGTAAAATGTTTGTATTACCTGCTAGAGAAATTGTGGGTCTTTGACATTCCAACTCTCTAATAAAAAGTAAAAAAAACAACTTAATGGCTTTGTAATGTGAAAATCTACAACAGATGCCATGCAACATCAGGGTGAAGCAAATTATTACGCAGGCCCTGCAGGCACTCAGCACCTCTCATTTCAGGAGGAAACAAAACTGAATTTCAAATTACAGTTAAGTTTGGGGAATGCTGTGGAAGAATCACTGGCTTTGGAAGTGGGGTTGAAAAGAATGCAGAAAACAGTATATTTTAGTGTTAGAAAATAGAGGGAGACAGCTACAAAAGGCTTTCTCATGCTTTTCTATTGTTTTTCACTTCAAAAAACATTTTGCGGTTGTTAAAAATGGGATGGCTCTAAACTAACAGCAAAACTGCATGCTTATCAGTTCTAGCTTAATTTGGCTAGAGACTGAAATATGATTTTCCCCCTCTCCCCTCACCAAATTGCAGAAGTATCTAATCAAGTAAATAGCTGCAGAAGGCAAAGCACAGGCTTGTAAGCCTGTTTCTTTAGCAAAGGGAAACCAGGGCTTTTTCCATGGAATGATCCTCATGTCTGTGACATTCTCTTGCTGATTTGTCTATCCTGGCTAAGGAAGCTAAAAATTAGGCACTGTTTCAAATTTCAGATGTGTGGTAGCTAATTACAGTACACATGATCTTAATAAAGAAGAGTTACTAGTTATAAAATACATTTGCTCTAGAATTTCCTGGGTAGGAGATGGAGAGTCCAAGCTGCAGAGTGCTACTGCCAACTGGATGGCTTAGGCTGTGATTTTTGTCAATTACTGTTTTTTCTATTTATGTACCTGCAAAGCAGAGATGATAAAATTTGTCTGTGTCCTAATTGCCTTGAGCTTTTAGCAAATATTTATGGACTACATGCAGACATTCAGGAGATGAGTAATTAAATTTCTACATCTTGTTAAATGTGTTTTGTAGAATCTTATCTCTTCCTGCTTTAAACAGCTTCCTCTTTCAGTCTTGAAAGCACTTTCCAGTAGAAATGTTGAAATTTAGAACAGATATTTTTATGCTAATTGGAGCACATTAACCTCAGGTCAAGCTTTGCACCATCTTCCTCACTTCAGCTTATCCTCATGTTTTGTTCCGTAACACCTCTTGACATTTAAGATGAACTGTAGATAGTAAAGATTATAAAACTGCTCCCACTTGTATAAGTAGGAGCTTTACCATTGGTTCCTCTGGAAATAGTATCAGGACCTAGAGAGATGCATGTAATGTCTTGTAAGACTAACATGCATTCTACCTGAACAAATATGACTCCGAGTGCTTTTGAAGCTTGTTCTCTGGTGCTCTGTGAAATGCATGCTTCTACTTGATGAGCAGAATATTGAAACTGTGCAGTACAACAACCTTCACATTAATTTGCTTCAAACAAAACAGCAACCCTGCAACAGGATTGACCAAAAGGCTCCCAGTCACAGATGCTAAATCATACCTGAGTGTAAATGAAAATGCATTAAATCCATGTAAGCACCCAATGCATTCATAATGAGCTGGTGCTGTCACCATAGCAAACTAATGCCAGAAACAGCTTACAGAGGTGGACAGAGCTCTTGTTTTCTAGACTCATTTATTACAATAGATATTACAAATTCTACTTAAACTTTGTTTAAATAGTCAGCACAGAGGTGGAAAAAAAAACTAAAGTAAGTCTAAGACTTTATCAAGATCTTGTTTTTCTGGAGTACTATATGTAACTCAGATATTCCTGGTTACATGTTAAAACTATCCTCTCAGCTCAGAATTTCCTTTAGTTTGGGGCAGGATTTTTAAAAGGAAAAGTCAATGTAATGTACAGCCTCAGGACTTCATTTATCTGACTTCTGCCCCACCAGGAAGTACACTCTGCAGTACTGCAGTCTTAAAATGCAGGAGTTATGCATGCAGGGGTTTTGTGTGCACAGGCATGAAGTCCTGGGCTCCAGGTGACTTGAAAAATCTCTCTGCGAGAAGTGGCTCAGCAGTCACCTGGAAGTACATGGTGGGTTGTGGCAGTGCCTGAACTGGCTTGAGATCCTGTGAGCTGTAAAACGTAAGTTATCAGCACAAGCATCCTCACCTTAAGATTTAGCAACAGCTATGTCAGCAGCTGAATTCAGAAGCATAAGTGAACGGAGCACTAATTTATATTAAGTGTAGAGATGGTGTACTGCCCTGTCAGCACCCTGCTAACATCCCCCAAGACACCTGAAAGTGGACTAATAGCAATGAAGAAAAATGAAGCTGACAAGATTGTAAGTTTTGCCCCAGACCTGTTTTTCAATAAAACTGGGATACATGTTCATTCTGTTTCATCCTCTTCCTGCAATTTAACCCAAGACAACCAAAACGATGTAGTGTGAAAGCAAATTCTGAGGACCAACCTCTGACAGACCACAAGCTTTTAACTTTACAAAATAAGCAGAAAAGGACAAGAACGTACAACCTGTAGCATTGTATCCCACTTGTCCTCTCACAAGTTGACCAACTCCATTAACAGAAAATGCGGTCATGTTTGTCTGTTTTAGCTTGAATCCACCAGATTACTGTAAAGCAGCTTAAACTTGCTTGTTTTGACCCCTCGAAGGCCAGCTGCCACAGGTCTCATACCTGGGCCCTATTTCCAGCCAGGTTCACAGAACAGGCATTTTCAGTACAAAGAAAAAGCAAATAAATGCCTCTGTCCTTGGAGTGGCGACCTTGCTAAATTACATAAAGTATCCTGAGCATCTGTTGCAGGAAGGGCAGTGGCCTTCTCTTATGACAGTATCGCAGGAACATGCATTAGTTCTGGAGGATTGATCTTGCAAGGACCCATGCAAGGACATTTCAATGATAAAATGAATAGTTCTTTACTCTGATTATGATGATTAATTCTGTTATGTCAGCAGCCTTTGGCACAGCCAGCAAAAGCAACAGATTTCATATGGGGAAAAACCTGATTGAAGAGCCAAGAACCTTAAAGGGGAATTTTGTGTGGTTAAGTAATAATATTAATGAATGACATACCAACAGCTGTAATTTTACATATATGCTGAAACACACATATTCCTCAGACCTCTGTAAGACTTCGTACTGATTTATGATTGTATTGTACTTGAAACATCAGTCAAGATAAAAAACTGGCATCGTTGCTGGAACTGACCAGCCACAGATGGACTCAAACTGTGGAAGCTTTTGGCCTCCATGAAGTTGAGCAGAAATTCTATCACAGGTGCCAATTTCACAAACAAGTAATCACTGTTGAACTGGCAGGCATTCTACCTCGCTCATTTTCAGTTTTGTCATGCAAAAGGCTAATCAAGACATCTATCAGGTATGTAATTTAAGCTGGGTAAGTCTTCACTAGTGCATATAACTGGTTTTGATTTTTGAAAGGGATTTGGCTTCAGACAATGTGGTTTCCTCTCCAGGTCTGAAGGCAGGCACTTGACATAAACTGATTGGGTCAAATCCCTCTTTCCAGTTTCTCCCCTCAGCTGCCATAATCGGGTTGTGTTCTTTGTGTGGTTTTTGTCTTGGATGAATTCCAGCTTGTGTCTTTTATGCCTTTGGTAAGAGAGGCATTTAGGAGGGATGTATTAAGGCCAGCTTCCTCAAGCATGTTTTGTCAGGAAATGCTCATCTGGCAACCCTAACATCATTAAAAATTATTCTTGGTAGTGTATGCTCTGCCAACACATAACCTTTAGGTGCTAAGAAAGAGTAGAGAAAGCACCACAAAAAGCAGGTCATTCAACAATCACTTCAGATATTTGACAGATAACAAGAAACAGCTCTCTTGCACTTAAGCATGTTATTTAGAAAGCTGGAGTAACTTTACCTGGCTGCCCTGGCAACTTGATCTGTCTGTTCTTAGAGTTGCTATTCTCTCAACATTCCCCTTTAGGAGGAAACTGAATACAAGCACTTAGATGTGTAGATTGGTAATTAACATGTTGACTTTCAAATTATAATCACTGCAAACACTTCTGCAGGCATCACTTCCTCAGCTCAGATGTGCTGATCACTTGCCTTGGACCAGCGCATTTACACAGAACAGTATTTGAACCTGATATTTTGAATGTCCCTGTGCTTTTTCACCTTATCAATTCATTGGGGTTTTTCCCTATCATTTTTTTCTATCATGTGCAAGGAAAAGAGTTGAAAGCTAGGCACAGAAGAAACTGGCCTCTTTTTGATCTAATGAGAAATTGTCTTACAGATTTTAGTGGCACAGAGGATACACCAACATTTTTATTACAACAAAATTTTGGATTCTCTGGAGTGCACTTGTAATGATGGCATATAGCCCCACTGATTAATATCTAATACTAAAAATGCTGGAAAAGTAATGTTCAGGTACATAGAGAGCCACATCAATTGCCTTGCCTACACAAACAAGGAAGTTATTTTAATGTTGATTTACGTTTGTATACAACCTGCTTTCTACTATTCAAGGGAGATCAATATTTATGACGATTCACTCAAGAATGCAGTTGACTTTTATTGTGCAGACCAAAAATAATGCAGTCACCAACCTACCACTACATTAATGTTACGAAATTAGTTAACAAAATAATTGTAAAAAATAACTTAATTTCTGATGAGCAAACGGAAGCAAGTAGTAGAGCTTTCTCATGTTCCTGTATTGATAGGAGAAAATGGCATTGAACCATTATACTCAATAACTCAAGAACAAAACCACTTCCATTGCTCAGGGGAATAAAAATATTCCTGTTTTCTCCCCCAACCCCAAACCCAATATTGGTTTATATATTAAAAAAAAAAAATCATCTCACTTGGAGTTACTGCAGAAGTTCCATGCTCTTTGCTCTATAACTTGAATATGCAAGTACCTGATAGAGCTATCCTACTGGCACGTATAGAGCTCAAGTGAAGCACTGCCTGGATCCTTTCCGAGTGTTTTTAGCTAGCCAGCGTACTAAACTTAATCTTCTGGTTCCTCATAATGTGCATACCCGCTTGCATAGGTCCTTCCTAAATTCAAATTGCTGAATAAGTCTGTGGCTTCAGCATCAGAATCCTTCCCTCCTCCATTGTCATCTTCATCATCATCTTCTGCTTCATATTCATCATATTCATCCTCACGGTCACCTGCATCTCCAGGCTTGCTGGAGGAGAGGTTCTTCCAGTAGGCATCATATCCAGAAGCTCCATCTGCATCTTCACCTCCAGTCTGTCGGCCGAACTTCAAAGAACGCGCTGCAGGCAGAGAAAAATCATCATGTTCCCACCCCTCAACAGCAGTTTGAGCTGAGCATCTGACATTCCATCCTTTTCCACTACTCGGCAAAGAGCACACAATGTTTGACAGCCTTTTTCTAAATCTGATGTTATCAGGTTTAATCCTCACTCTGACAGAACCTTTCTGCTACACACACTATGTCTCCTTGAAGCCAACTTTGTATGAACACTAACTGTCCCCAGAGCATGACTTGCTTTTACGATAAAGCTTTGGTACTCTAGCCAAGAAAACCTGTAATTGGATGTGCTCTGCAGACACAATAGGTATCCTGATTGATTCAAGAGTCATTGAGGTAGGTTGTACACAGATCATCAAATCACACTTTGAAATTCATTAGCTAGCTTCTTCTAGATGAAGTAAAGGCTTAAGCAGTTATTTTCTGCAATTTTTCCACAACTAAAATCTCAAACTAACCAAAAGCTTTCGCTATTAGGATCAATGATTAAGAACAAGTGACTTCTTGGTTCTAAACTAAGAAACGCAAAGTTTTCTTAAGACAAACATAGCAAAGCTTTGGAAAACAACTGAAAGTAACTGGACTTTACTCATTGTTCTTATGCAGAAAATTAGTCACCAATAGTGCTTGTATTGCTTATTAACTGGAGACACACGCTTACTTGACATGCTCAGATCCTTGGTCTGCTGAGTTTCATGGCCACATTTAGGACAGGGAGGCTCTTTTCCTTTTTCCTGCTTGAAAACCTTACTTCGCACATGATCGTCACAAAAGCAAGCCTGTAGGGTGAAAGAAGAGTGAGAAAGCTAAATGTTTTAATCATAGAACCATACTGTTCAGCAAGAAGCAAGCAAAAAAGTGTCTAACAGCAGCAGGGTTTTCTGGTTGGTACTAAAATTTAATGAGCTCTATCTGCAGTGGAACTGGGATCTGTGCACAGAGCAACCATCTTGATAATGAACATAGTTCCATGGTTTCCTCGGGAAGAGGCTGGATAAAAGTGCTGATAAACAAGTAGAGAAGTAGGACATCCAAGGACCATATTATAGCGCTGCTCACAAGGAGCCTGGCAAACTTTGGTTTACACTGACAAGTTTAAATAAGATACAATCAGAGATGTACGCCAGAATATAACTATGCAGTGACCTGAAGGCAAAAGTTAGAGATAGAAATTTCATATGTTGAGCTCCAGAGTGCTAGTGAAGATACCTGGAGAAAGGAGCACTTTGGAAGATTAAATCAATGCCATGGGAGGCTGCAGGGAAAACATATGGAGAGTAAGAAGAGTAAAAGTAGGCAATGAACCAGCACCTGGAGAAATCTGGGCAATGCTGATGATGAAGCAGGTGGAAATTTTATACAGAATTACTTCTGAGTGTGAAAACCAAAAGCCTGGCATCAGCAAATTAATGTCTGCATGTGTAAGACCAGATTAGCTGTGGAGATTGTTTCTACTGGATCCAGGCTGTGGTGTTGCTGGCCAGATCATCACTTGACTGTTTAAAAAAACCCAAACTTTTCCACTTGTCTTAGACCTACACTGGATCAAAACGAATTACAACCCCCTGGATTCCGTTTGGGACCAAGGATTTGTTTTGGTTGGTTGGTTTGGTGTTTTTTTTTTTAAGGGTCAAACATGGTACAGCTGTAGTTTAAACAGAGGGCTTGACAAACTGAAGATTACCTCTCTTGGCATAAGGATGCATAACACTGGCTTGTGGTTAACAGGCAAGCACAGACTTAAAAAAAGCCCTTTTGATCCCCATAAGCCTGTCTCTAGGCTTCAGATATTAATACAAAAGTATAAATATATTTTAAGAATGTAGGGGAAGATGTGAGAAGGCCTTGGAGGCTAAGAAAAGTAAGTCTAAAGTCATAGCTACTTGCAACTGTCTTTACCTTACAACGCAGACATGAATGCTGCCCAAGTCTGTTACAGGAAACACCTGTTGGAGAAAATCAATATGTAAAATTCAGTACTAAAAAATAACAGATCTGCGATGCTTTTAAAACCTTGCAAAAGTCTGTAATAACACAGCTGAGGCATTTATTTTTAATTCCATAACACAACTGCCCTTTGGCAACATGCATCAGTTATTTTAGCATACAGTACCATTCTATTAAGAGTTTTTCAAGTCTAAGCCTCATTGCAATAATGTCATTTGACACAAAAAATAGAAGTTCAAGAGGGGCAAAAAGTTTAACTATTACTTGAGTTTCTAAACTTTTGCAAACAGAAGTTTTAGAACCAGTCTGGTATTAAGTGGTCATCTTGTGTTTCCTTCTCTCACGATGTCAAAAGAAGGAGCACTAGCATTTTGCAGTCACTTTAAACACACCATGACAGCCTTTACCACCTTTATCTTGTTTAAAGGGGACGTGATAATACTTCAAGCTTGCAAACCTCCAAAGTTCAAACACTTGTGTTCTGTATTTTGTCATGTCCTCCGGAAATATACTTTATTGTACACAACTTCAGATGAAAATCTATCCGTTCTGAAAAGAATTGTAGCTGGCACATGAGCTACGAAAATCAGGATTGGTGCTCAAAATCTTGTCTTGAAGTTTCAAACCTGTTCCTTTAGTCCACTAGAGGGAGTAAAGGCAACTACCCAGCAACTGGCAGCAACAGCAAGCTGGGTGAACTGTAGTTACTACTCGAAAGGCAGTGATACATATTTTATCGGTCACTGTGCAAGTACTTGTTCCCTTCCTCTTTGCCTTACCCCTGAGGCAGCAAAGTTTTTTTAATCTTAAGTAATAAATATAATGAGCTTTTCACATGAGCAGGACAGCCTCAGGATTTAGCAGTCTTATGTATTTAAAGATGGAATGGGAATTGCTAATGCATATATATTCATCATTCCTGGAGTATCTGCATTTACAAAAATTCTCGGGTAGTGATACAAAGTAAGAGTACCTTTGTCACTGCTAGAATGGGATTTAGACTACAAACACATGACTGCCTTTAAAGTTCATGTATTCTGTAGAAGTTCAGGTTTTACAACCTTGTTACCACACACTGACAAATTCCTGCCTACCAAAACTGCACTGTGCCACAAAACGTTGAACAACCTCAAAAAAGCAATTTCTCCACTAAGGGTGTGACATACATCTGTGAATTAAAAGCTTCCAGCAATCACTGAACAAGTATTCATGTGAAATAGCTGATGCTGCTTCAATATTGCTGTGCAGGAAGGTATTTTGGCAGAATACATGGAGGGAAGCTAATCAAGGCTTAGAAAATAGCCAGCTGGTGAAAAAAAAGGATGGGAGATGAAAAGGAGATGTGAAATTTCAAAACACACAGACTATAACATTGAAATTGACAACTATTCTGAATTGGGAGAAATCAATTAGGACAAGAGATTAGGCAGTTCTGAAGAAAAGAGTCTCATAGATGACAAAGAGCACTTTGAATTTCTGTGATAAAGATTGAAAACGTTGTAACAGTCAAAATACAAGTTTTGGAAAGGACTAGTGCTTGTCTTATGGGACAAACCAAACAGTAGTAAATGGTGGATAGAAATGAAATACTTCTAGAAAAGATTAATTATTTCAAATAGGCATAGTCTTGGTTTGTGTTTGTTTTGGCTTTTGTTTTTTAGCTTCCCTTGACGTTTCCCTCTTTCAGCCAAAGACAAGTAGAGGACTAGAATGAGCCATCCTCTTACAAATATGAGTTTCAGTTCTGGTCACAAAATTAACTGAAGTTCAAGAGGATAAAAAGTCTTCAAATACCTGAAGACTTTATACCTATCAATAAAAGTGGACACATCTCAACATTTGATAAATCACTGACACACATGTCCACCATCTACTGGTCAGTGAAGAAACTAATACTGAGCTCATCCTCTGGATGAACACTGTTTTTTTTCATTCCTTACATGCTCACGCTGTCTCTCTGACTGATGATGACTACTTCCTGAGTCACAGCCTTCCTCAAGACTCTCTGCTTTTGCCAAATCAACAGATGCTAAAACCCTTCACCAATATTCAGGCCATTCACAGCCATTGGGGAAATTTTAGCCAGACTAACACAGGTAGTGTTATTTAGGGCAGCTGTTTTCCATGAGGAACAGGTATCTAGAAATAGCTCATCATATTGACAGAGAAGTAGAAGAGAGCTCCTTGTCTGAAGAGCTTTGTGGAGTAAAAAAACAGCTTCAGCAGTTCCACCATTTTTCTGCAGTCCTGGCCCCTGCCAACACTGCAACTTTAGAGACTGCTGGATCCTGCAACGGCAACTTCCCAGGAAAGGGCTGTAAGGGCCAGGCAGGGAAAAAAACTGCCTCATGGAGTCAACATGGACGAAGGCCAGAGACAAAAGCTCTAGTCTAGATAATGGATATCAAAAGCAAGCAGAGAGGAAACAGGCCCCTTCCTCCAGTGGTGGTTACAGCTGTTTGAAAAGGTGATGGAGAGTATTCTTGAGCACAGAGGAAGAAGCAATTGGAGAGTCTTCTTAGCTGTGGTGAAAGGGATTATGAATTAATAACTTACATTTAAATGTCTCTGCTTCCAGAACTTGGCAGCTGGCTTGATGTTCAAACTGATCATCTTCACAGAGAAAATCGTGGCAAAAAGAGCAGGCAAATATTCTGCCTCCTAAAAGATTTATCAAAGCAAAATAATCAGCAATGGGCACACGCATCAAGTTCTGTTCTGCAAACAATTTAGGCTGTGGTTCTGACTGAAGTTCTCTCTTCTGTTACAAATGCTTTAACAAAAGTCCTATATTAGACACTGCCATCCATTATTATACTGAAAAATACCATGTATCCTACAATAAGAGAAAGCATAAATACAGAGCAAGTATTAACTGTACTTTTCTTCATTTTAATTTGACTATGGCGTTAAGTATTTTTTTTTTTTAATCAGATCATTCTCTTTTATTCAGTTTCCTTCCCTCCTCCCCCCTCACTTTTGATGCACACTTGGAATAAACCCTTCAATGTATTCTACAAATTGAGATGAGTATGGTTTTCTAAGCAACTGGGAATCCAAATACTTATACTAGCACAGAAGAATGGAGTGGATGGAAATAGCAGAAAATAGTGTGTTGACAATTTGATGCAATGTTTAATTATGTGAAGCACTCTGCTGATAGGACAGTTAATAGTTCAGATTACATAACCACCCCTGAACTGAATACTGTATGTTCCTGAGCAGGTCATATACATTCCCCACTCGTAAGGTCTATTTTTAAAATGGGAAGAATGCTTTGCTTTGAACAAACATGCTGCAAGAACTAATCAGTGAAGATTAAAAAAGCTATGCTATGAATATAGGTACAATAACTTAAGCAATGGGAGGAGAAAAGTACCATTTAGATTTTCCTAAGTGTGAGCAACCTACCATGGTCCCAGACACTTCTTTCACACTCAATACATTCTGCATCTGCGAGAGGGCAGGTACACGCATGTGTGCTCAGACACTTCCTCCCATGACACACCCAAGCTTCACAGAAATCACAGATTGCACCCTGTAATTACAGAAAGATGTCATCTTGGGACTTATGCAATACCTAGAGGGAGACTCTTTATTCCATAATCCTAAACATATCCAAGTACCACTTCTCTCAGTGGGTTCATTCCAGTTGAGTGAGACATTATGAACCACATCTATATTCCTATTGAGACGCTCCACAGTTCATCTTGTTTGTTTGATATTCACTTCTGCAGGGTTAAATATGATGTAAAATAACTTGGTTTTCTCCTTTTCTCTTTTTCACATTTTCCATCTTAACTCTCTTAACTCTTAATGAAAATTGTGTCCCCCAGCTGAAACCTGAGATCTGTAAATGATAACAATGTTCTGGCAAAAATGCAATTTGAAAACATGTCCTGGAAAATGCCACTAGATTCTTAGAGCTGAAATCACTTATTTGGATTTTAAACTATGCTATATTGGAACACAGGCTCTGCAGCGAGCAAAGATCAAATAACTCCCTAGAAATAAGTTACTCTTTTAAGTACAAGATCTACGCACTACTATCCCTTAACTGTAGCATTTTAGGAAGCCACCTCAGCCCTTATGTAATAAACTATTACGTGCATTACATGCACACAAAACTAAACCAGTGGTGAATCCAAATTAATTATTGATGAAAATATTGTACCACTGAACCCGTGAGTTTAGGAAATTCAGACTGGGAAGGCTGGCTGTGTTGATGAGAAAAGCTGACTGCAAACTGGATGCAGAAACAGGACTGAGGTTTAGCCCATACAGCATTTAATCCAGAGGCTATGATGTGTCATAACTTGCTTTCCAGAATGCAATAGTAACTTGTCCTTCAAAGAAGAAAAATTCAAAGGCCAAAAACTATCACTAGGAGCAAAAATGATTTTTTTTTTAATTAAAATTCCTTCCCGGTGCCATAGAACAGATTTCTCTCTCTGATAATCACGGTCTCTGCATAGGGCCTGCCACCAACACAGATCTGTTAGCATCCAGGACACGTTGGGAGTTTGCAGTTGTACCTAAAAACGCAAGATTTGGGGTTTCAGTAGAAGAGAAAATAAGTTTATGATGTTAAAATATTAAAAAAAAGTTGGCATGGTGCATGCTGTCATTCCATAATCTGGTTTATCCTTTTTCTTTTTCAGAAAGATTTGCATAGCATAACCTCATGCAGCAATAAAAAGCTATAATTCTGTATACATACCACCATTGCTAGTCCAGTACTGTACACACCAGCATGTTTTATAACACAGTCTGAAGACTTCATCATGCATTTGGTTTTTCCTGTTTAGAAAAGACAAGGAACCAGAAGAAAACTATATAAAAGATTTAAAATTAGAATGAATGTTCATACAAGAGCAGTACTTCAACCAAACACCTGTGCTTGATTGTAAATCTAGGTAAAAATGATGCAAACAAATGTCTGCAACCTGCAGTCCACCCTCACATCTGCCTTAGATCAAATTAATTATTGTCTGTTTTCAGCCCAAATCTCTTTCCTCAGTACTGAGATAATAAGGCAATGTGTTGTATTGCTCTCTGTTTTGAGTCACTGGCAAGAATTTCAAATGTCAAAATATTTGAAATGCTGTCAAACCAAAGAACAAAATTAAGATGAAAGCCAAGCAATGACATCTTTAAAAGTTGCATTTGAAGCTGCTCGTTCTGCCTCACCATAAAAAGCAGTATGTGCTCTGTGCAAGGTTGAGGCCCTCTGCAAAAAAAACATATGCACATGATGATTTAATTTCTTACATGTACTGGGATACTTAGGGTTTTGGTGGTGGTGGATGGGTTTGTTTTTTTCTCTCTTCCAAAACTGTATTAGCAATTAATTCCTAGACAAAATAACTCCTCTTAAATGCAGGTATTAGTGGGAGAAAAAACCTGTCTGTATTTAAGTCATTCTGGCACAAGCAAGTAGTTACAGTGACAACTTTCCCTTACTCCTTGCCTCTGACATAAATACCTCTGCCAAAAAGACACACGCCCTGCATGCACTTATGCAAGCAAAAAAAATCTTGTACTTAGCCCAGGCTACTGCAGTGGAGCTTTATCGCTGGTTTAAGCTGCCCTGCCGCAGTTCCCTTTGGTGAATCTGCTATTGCCTGCTTAGAGAAACCACCAAAGGGGTGCTCCCTGCAACCCCACTGAGGAGCTGACAAAGCCAAACTGTACTCTGAAAACATCATTAAATTCCAGTATGCAGCATCTAATGAGCTTTGTATTAAATCACACCTCAGATACCAAATGGCACTTGGAGTGGTGGGCTGAGCTGGGGATTGGAGGTGGTGGGGGTATGACTGGATCTGGAGCACTGCAGCACAGCTACGTTGCTCCCATCCCTCAGGAATTCCTCTAAGAAAGTTTCTTAGAGAACTGGTTTATAGGAGCTGTCTCCAACACTTGATTAAGCACAAAACAGCTCTAATAATGGTCTTTGTTTTGGAAAACCCTGGGACTTAATAGAATTCTGTGGTTGTTATTAGGGATGCTTTTCCTCCAGAAACATAGTGCAGATTAAGATAAATTCAACAGACAGGAGTCAACTTCAGATGTATAATATACTGCAAGATAGACAGCACCTTTTTACTGCTCCACTGCATGATGACAGAAGGAAGACTTACGAAGGATGACACACTGCCATTGCACACTAACAGCCTGGCTTCTAGAAATGCTCAGAAACTGCAGGTCCCAACAAAGGCACTGGAAGCTGCAGATGTCAGCAGCACTGACAGTCAAACTACAAAAAGAGCCAAACTGCTTAACTGAAAATCTGCAAGGACGTGTTAAGATGGTATAACAGCAAAATTCACCTCGAAGTATGAAATGATTATCAACGTCCCCTGCAAGAAAGCAGCTGTTTAAAAAAAAAACGGAAGGGTATTTTATCCTGATTTGGAGCAGAGTTCTGTCATTAGGAGTCCTTCTCTTCTGACTTCAAAGCATCAGCCCTCTAGCATATAAATAACATGACCAGGTTGTTCTCAATCCTAAAAGGCAGCAAGAAAAATTCTTCCAAAGATCAAATACTGCAGACTTGCACACTTCTTGGGGCCAAAGGGGCATACACATTAGCAAATGATCAATCAAGATCTCAAGGAGGAGATCCACAGCAGATTTAAAAGAACCTGCTCCACAAATCACAAAGGTACTTTAAGACAAAGGTACTCTAAGTGCAGAGAGTTTAACACCACAAACAGGACTGAGGATAGCATGTTCTCCTTCATTACTTCTACTTACCACATTGTGCACAAATGGGTAGTTTTTGAACTGAGTTGCAGAAGTAGCAAAAAGCTCTATTCTTCTGTCGTCTAGGCATACAGAGGGGGAAAAGAAAAAGCAATGTAAGCAAGCATTAGAAAGACATGTAAAACATTTGAAACCAATTCAATTGCTAGGTTTAGAAAGGAAAAAATACTTACCTTTGGCACTTATCACATTCCTAAAGAAAAGAAATGACACTGGTAATTATTTTTATTCTACATAAAATAAGACCTAGATTCAGAGACCCTGCAGTGACTCTGAATTAAAGTTCTGATCAGAAACCAAACTTTTTATTCAAGTATTATACCTCTGATGCAAATGTAACCTTAATTATAAAGGATGGATGGTTGGAGGAATGACATTCTAGTGGCACTAAACACAACTAATATTTATGACTGGGTTTACATAATTTAAAATCAAGCATTGTAATATAAAATACGTTTGGTTATTTTACCATCGAAGCATTACAAGGATGTTTGGCTAAATCTATGTTGGCTCTTGAAGCCCTTATCTGCTTTTCACGTTCACGGCGGTTCTCAGCTTTCTTACGAGCACCAGTCTTCTTCTTAGGCATTTTTCACGACCTGTAGGGGGGAAAAAATAGGTTTGTAATGAATGCACACAAACCTATGTATGGAACTACATGGATACACAAGACAAATCCAGCACTAAAACTGGATCTTGGAGTTCCCATGTTAACTGTGCTTCATCTCCATTTCCTTTTTTAAAGGTTTCTTTTCAACTGTAGAATAGGGGGCCAGTCCCTTAGCAAGAGTCATGTGATGAACCATGAAGAATCTTGTGATCTATAAAAGACTTTGCTGTCTTAAAACTTTGCCTTAACTATCTTTGAAGCGTTTTACCTTTAAAAAAACAAAGCCTAACTGCTATATTTTGCTGGTTTGTGATGGGCCTCTGGTTTTGTTTTGCCTTGTCTATTTGTTAAGGACAATATTCAGTTCATTTCCTCTTTCACTTCGCTCTCTTCTGATGCTCACTAACTACTTCAATCAGTTGAAAAGGATTCTTCAGGTGAGCGAATCATGGTGTACTGCAAAAATGCAAATTTCACACTTCATGAAGGCTTAGAAAACAAAATGTCATTACATGGATTTAAGAGTTAAGGCAAAGTGATGCCTGTACTGCTTATTTATCATTCTTGCACATTAGCAATAATGGAGATGAGTGTGCACTGATGTATTGCTTTGAAGGCACCACTGTTTCCCAAGAAGGGTTTATGCT